CCTGGGCTGCTGTGACACGCATGCCCATGCAGGTGCTGATGTAAGCAGCGGGGATGTTCAGGCCAGCCACTTCCCACCCTTCCAGCTCTGAGCAAAGTCCTGCCTGGTGTCTTAAATCACGATTCAGTAGGAGCAAGTGCTACTTTTAACTCTTCTGTAAGGGTCGTCAAAGAGTCCACAGGTAGGTATAATCTGATTTGGAAGGCAACACAGTATTTCCAGAATCGACCCTTGTGTTGTTGAAAAGGAAAGACATTTGAATTAAAGGCCCGGCCCCGCACACCTGCCGACACTAGGTGTTCCTAACGAGGACTTCAAGCCTCAATTTCCAACGGCTTCCTTGAAGCAAGGCTAGCTTGCATTTGCAGCTGACCAATCCCAACACCAGTGGAGCTGCTGCAGCACGCGGACCACACTGGGGTCCCCACGCATGACGTCCCTTGATCCTCACGGAGGCCCACGGGGCAGTACGGAGCTGAGAAGTCTCAGCTCGGGAAGATGAACGGCCAGGGCCACGTGTTGAGATGAACTTGCCAGGGCAAGCCCCTTGCATGTCGCCGCACCGTCGAATCAGTCCAGGGAGACACGGCCCCCACAGAACCCCTGGCCACCTGCACAGCCCAGGCCCCCTGGCCCACTGAAAGACATCTCTGCCTCAGCATTCCCGCCTTGCCCACCAAGTCTGCAGGAGGGACACCAGGCACCCCCTCCGCATTCACATCTTGACGCGGCCTACAGTGCTGGCTCACCTACAACAAGTTAGATGGCCCGGGTCTGTCCTCAGAGTGGCCCTTTGCAGACTTTGACCTCGGTGGACACTGCACAAACCCAGCAGCACACATGAAAACAAGAATGCGGAACGCCCCAGACCTGCTTTGAAACCTGAGGTCCCAGGGCCAGGAATGGCCACTCGAGAGGACGGGTCCCCAGGCCACCCAGCGCTCCCTGACAAAAGGACACACCGGAGGACAAGGGGTGAGGCCCTTTTGCTGGTTAAAATATGCCTATTCTCAAGCTATTGGCAAACAGTTTGAGGGGCTGGAGAAGAGAAGAAATGGAGAGAGGGCGGGAAAGGGGCAAGAGGAAGCGGGGGTGGGAGGAGGGGAGACAGAGTGACAGAGAAGCCAGGGCTGCCTGCCACTGGTGAGCCTGGCTCCTGCCCTGCGTGTCTCCTTCATCCACTTTCTCCGCTGGAGACGAGAGGCGGTGGGCTCAGCCTCCAGCCTGGAAGCCTCTCGGGCCCCCTGGCCCCTGTCCCCTCATCCCACCCTCCTGGCAGGCTCTGTGCATCCCCTCTCTGCCTCTGGCACGAGAAAGCAGGTCCCCAAGAGGGGCTTCTTCCCCCAGGATCCCCCAAGTGCGAGGTGCAGTCGGCAGGGCCAGCCTAGACCAGGGAGCTGCTGTGTGGGGCCTCCAAGTGCAACTAGCAAGGGCAGGTGATGGGGGGCCAGCAAGCAGCCCCTGTGGTGTCCCCTTCTGCTCTCTGTGCGGCTTCAAGCTCTGGAGTCCCCGAGGGCTGGGACCCCTCCTGCTGGGGAGGGCACTCTGCTCTCGAGAGACGTTCTCTCCGCTGAGGCCCGGCTCGGTGGGTCCCTGCCTGGCCCGCACACCGTCCCTCCCTCTCCTGCCCACTCCACGCTGCCCTCAGAAGTGTCACCAGGCAGTGCAAGCCACAGCTCTGCACCCGCCAGCTGCCCCCACCAAAGGGGTGCAGTCCTGGGACTGGCACTCGGAACACCAGATGACTTGGGGGCCACCCCACCCTCTGGGCTGCCCCAGGACTTCCAGATCACTGATGTCCTGTTTCCGGCTTCCAGAGCCAGAGAACTCGCCGTGGCTGACGGAGCAGGACGGGCTGACTTCTGTGAAAGACGTGTACGGGTCCAGACACGCGCTGAAAGGTGATGTCACAGCAGAAACATGGAAGACTCAATCTGGGGTCCCCAGGGTGAATAGGAAACCCCAAGGGGCAGGGCGTCAGGGTGGCAGGTTCTGGAGATCACATCACTCCTGGCAGGGCACACCTGTGCTCCAGGCAGGGTTGGTCCCCAAGCAATGCTCTGCCCTCTGCTGCTGATTCCCCAAAACATCCTGGTCACCATGATGCTGGTGGGTGCCTGTGATCCCAGCACTTGGGAGGCTGAGGCAGGAGGATCACTTCAAGTTCCAGGCCAGCCTGAAATATATAGTGAGACTGTCCCCCCGAAAAATTCCTTCCCAGGTAACCCCTAAGATTGGTGCTGTCTCTGAAGATGCCTCCTGTTTTTTATTCCCTGGGGTCGCTTGTGGAACACAGGCTGCTGGCCCCAGGAGCGAAGCAGGTGCACAGGCGCGCTGGGTGGGAGTGGGCTGCAGGAACACGTGTGTCTGAAAGCCAAGGGCTGCTCCCCACTTCTGCAAGGCCTGCTCTGCCACCCGACTTTAAATGATAAAACCACTGACACGGCACCTGAGCCCCTTCTTTGGCCACAGACACCCCAAGCATCCTCTGGAGGGAGTGGGGGTCCCCCCTTTTCAGAACCACTCTTGGCACTTCAGAAATCTGTTCGGGGTGTAAGGTCCTCCTGGATGTGCGCATCCCACGCCCTCGGCGGGACTGGGCGTGGAAAGAGCTGGGGATTCAGCATCTTTCCGCCCCTCCCCTTGGGCTCCTCAGCCTCCACTCTTCCTAGCACCCACGTCTTGTCAGGCCCTCCGTGTCCTGGAATTTGTCACCAAAGTGTACAGAAGGAGCACGCAGGCCGCTTCCGGGACCAGAACGAGCGGGCAACTTTGTGGAACAGGAAGCTAGTGAAGCCACATTAGCAGAGCCCCCCAAAGAAGCCAGTGTCCGCAGCTGTCACCCGAGCAGCAGTCATGAGCTTTGAACAGGGTGCAGAAGAAAGGGACAGAGGGCTCCCCAGACAAGAGGAGGTGGGGATGGCTGCACAGGACCGCGGGGACCACCGCCCTCCCTGAGTGCTCAAACTGCCAGATGTGGAAGTGGCGGGAGGCTCAGAGCCCCTTGAGGGCCGCACTCACGCCGTATGGCATCCCCCGCTTGTGCAGCTGAGGAAACTGGGGTGCTCAGAGCACAGGGCTCCACACGTGGCCCCTTGTTTTATGCTAGGAAGGCCGGGGTGCGGAGCCTCAGCACGTGCCTGCCCCTGAGGATCCTGACTCCGAGGGGTAGCAGGGCTCCCCCAGTCACATCTGGTGATGCAGCCTGGGGGTCTCAGCCCCCCGCATGACCCTCCCTCCCTGTCTGCTCAGAAAGCTGGGCCCGCGGGGGAGCCCCCAGTGTGAGTGGCCACAGAGGTAATGAAAGCCCAGCCCAGCCACTGCCCAGTTTCTGGCGCCGGTGATGCTAGCTCTGCTCTCTGCTGTTTGTGCTTCTCTCTGTGGTGACTGTCGCCTGAATCCCGGTGTCAGACAGAGCCGGATATTCGTGCAGAGTCCCCTCCCCGAGCTCCTGTCCTCACCCTGGGCAAGGATCACGGCGGCGTGACAAGAGGCTGCTCCTCCCGGCCAGGGTTTGATGCAGGGGAACTGGGCCCAGCCCCAAGGGGGCTTCTCCTGTGTGGAATAACCGAAAAGAAACAGAGCTGCGTTTCCACTTTCCGACCCCCCGGGACCCCTGCCCAGCGGTCAGGACCTCGCTGTGATGGGGTCGCCCTGTCTCGGGGACCACCATGCGGCCCCTGACTGGACCCTAGCTGCATCCACAGCAGCCTTCAGAGCTGAACGCTGGCTCCTCTCCTTCCGTCAGCAGCTCAGTTGCCATGTATCTGATTCAGTTTAGCTAGTAATTAGTTTTGTATTACTTTACACGGTGATGTTAATACTGATTACAGGGCCTGATAACTTTAGTAATAAATACAACCCAAGGCAGAAAATCACCTTGCTTTTGATTGGGGGCGTCAGTGGAATGAGAGGTAAATTGCTCCAGAGGAAGCAGCTGCCCCTCGGAGGATTTACAGCATCCTGCCCCTCGGTGTCACAGCCATCGTCCCCTCCCACCCGGGGCTCAGGCCTGGTGCAGGAGCTCCGGTCTCAAGGGCCTGGTGTTCATGCACCCAGAGGCATCGGCAGCCCTGGGCAGTGAGAAACTCCAGCGCCAAGACTGCGTTCCATGCACTGGGGGACGACAGGTGCCAGCAGAGACCCCGGTTCCACCCCAGCCCCTCTGCGCCTCCCACACAGACCCTCTGCTGCCCCATGTCCAGGGCCTGCGGGAGTAGAGCTGGGGAGGGAGGGTGGCAGTGGGCGGGCGCTGGAGGCTCAAGCTGGTCACCACGGGGAGCTGTTTCTCCCTCCGCCTTCAGTTTCTTCCTGGGAGTGGGTGGCCTCCCGGAGAATCGAGGACAGCATCCCCTGGTCTATCTCCCCTGCCGGTCCTTGTACCCCTGGGGCTCCCTGCAGGCACCAAGCCCAGCAGACAGCTCGCCAAACCAAGGGAGGAGACACAGCAGCACTCCATAGCCCAGAAGCGAACAAGCCCGGCAGCACCGGTGGGCACCCTGGGGCATTCTGTGTGCATTTGTAGCCGGAGCCTTACCAGGGCATGCGGGGCATTTAGAGGGGCTGTGCCTGGCTGGGGCACATGGCTAATGAGAAGAGCCACTTCTGGCTTAAAATAAACCAACACCGCACACAGGCACAGAGCCAGGGTGGGAAAGCCGGGTCGCACGCCCTCCTTCCACAGCAGCCTCTGTTCCTGACCTCCTCCCATCTTCCTCCCTGGGGCTCCCTCGTGCACCCAGATACAACCTGGGGACCCACTTGGGTGGGCACCTCCCTCTCCGCCGTGCCCCCGGCCCCCAGCAGAGCACCTGGTGCAGACAGCTCTGGCGACCCTCACACGATCTGGCGGAGCCCCAGGTCTCCCGCAAAGCGTGTCACCCCAGATGGCAGATGGAAGGGCTTGGACTTCCCAGACATCGTCAGCTCAGCTTGGGTGGGGTTACACCCACCAGCGGGTAGCCAGGAAAGGGTAGGTGAGCAGATGGAAGAATAGGAGGGGCGCTCGCAGGGCTTCCTTGGTTTAAAGGGGGGAGTTCAAGCTCAGAGTGGCTAAGAGCTGCTCTCAGGGTCACCCAGCAAGAGCCTGCTGGGAAGGGGGCAACAGCAGGACCACCTGGGTTCAAGGTCACCGCTGGGCGCTTCCCGGCCCCTCCCACCAGCACCCACGGGGCCATGCCCCTTGCGCCTATTTATCTGAGCAGAAGTCGGGGAGCCGCATGGGCTGTAGGTGGGCCTGAGTCCAGGAGCCTGATTCCCCGCACCTCCCCAAGACTGAGCGACCAACCTCTCTGCATCCCACCGGAGGCTCACTGTGCTGTCACTTTACACGACTTCTCAAGGGCATGAAATGTCAGCCTTTCGTTGAAAATCGAAGGCCAAGGCCATGTCAAGTGTCTTTCAGGTGAGGATGCAGTTCACATGGAGCCACAGCTTTGAAAGCCGTAGGCTGTCAATCAATAGTTGGCACCTGATTGAATGGCTGCTCACAGGGAGCTGCCGGGAGGACAGATGGCCGGGCCACGTGCTGCACTCCCCACCTGTCTGCAGGAGCCCCGAGAGCGGCCCTCTGTACGAACAGGTAACATCTGTAGGGCCCTGACAGGCACCCACTTCCACGCATGCCAACCCACAGGCTCAGTGGCCCTAGGATCTCCCATCCCTGTCCCAGGGAGGAACTGAGCTCGAGGTGTGGGTGTGGGGAGCACTTTTCCTCAGTGAGGTGGGAGACAGACACCTGGCAGCTCAGCCCCACTCCTGGAAGCCCAGGGCATTTCCTTCATTCCTGGGGATCTCGGATCCAGAAAGCAAGATACCTGGCCATGGGCAGCTCCCGAGGCTCTGCCCCACCCCACAGGTGCTTGCACACAAGCTCCACCTTAGCGGCCTCTGCTAAAGGTGAGAACCACCTGTTCCAAGCCCGGTGGCACCCACAAGGGGGGACAAGAGCAGCATCTCTGCCTCTTTCGTAAGTGGTCGTGGCATGGAGGGGATTTTCACCAGTGAGCTTCACTCTGAACTACAAACAGAGACACTAGGTTTCCAATGTGAAATGCTAAAAGCCTGGCTTCAGGGAAGGGAGGGCTGTGTCTCCACCGGGGAGGAGGTGTCTCTCAGCTGAGCCGAGAGACACTTTCCCCAGAGGAATCCCAGCTCAGCCTCAGACAGCGCAAAAGCTCCCCAGCAAGCAAAGAAAACATTTCCCTGGCGCCACCAGTGGGGAGAGGCCAGGAGCTGGCCAGGGTGCTGAAGACGGCGCGGGGGGGCCCCCGGTCTGGAGATCCCGAGATGCAGAGGCCTGGGGGGGGGGGGGGGTAGGCGTGGTGTCCACCACGGTGAGCGTGGATGGGCGGACACTTCACCACTCAGACAGAGCTTCTCGCTGAAGTCGAACCGAAAGTTTCTCCCCGAAACACGGGGTCTTTTAAAAGATACGAAGAGGAGAAACTTGGTGAGCAAAAGCACCTTATGTCTCCTGATGAAAGACTACCAGGAAGGCATCAGGAGGCCTGGGGACAGACACTTGCGAGGCCACCCAGAACCAGCAGCCTCTTTGCCAAGATGTGGCAACAGAGAGCAGGCACAGCCCTCTGCAAAGAGCCTGCTGCTGCTGGGGACCTGCTGGGTTTTTCTGCACGTGTGTGCATTTGTGTGTGTGCTACAGGCGTCCGTGCGTCTGTCCACCCACCGCGCACAGCCAGCACCCCTCCCCAGAGCCTCTGCAGAGGGGCAAGGAAACTTCTCTCCCGGAGGCCATGAGGAGCCGGCCAGGGGTGACTGGCAGGTGACCAGCGACACCGGGGCAGGGGTGCGGAGGGTGAAGGGGGACAAACCCCACCGTGGGGCCAGGGAGCCCCGTGCCTCCTGGGGAGAGCTGGGGCAGCAAGGACTTGCAGGAAACAGGGAGGCTCGCTCCAGTCTTCTCTCTCCCTGTGGTCTTCCTCCTGCTCTCGGCCCTCCCTTCTCTTCTTTGTTTCCTTTTATTTTCCCGAGGGAGGCTGTCAGCGAGCCAGGGAAGTCCGGCAGCTGGGTCAGGGCCACGGGGCTGGCGGCCCTCCCCTCCTAGACTTGTGACTCCCAAGGGCCAGCGTCTCTGGGTGCAGAGCCCGGCACAGTGGCTCCACGGAAAGGGCGTTTTAATGTCACTCCCAGGCAGTCCGAAGCCGGCAGGCTCTTCCCAGCACCCGGCGCCAGGCGCCCTCCCCAAAGGGCGCACCACTTCTCCCAGACCTGCCGCTCCAGATGCCTTTTTAACATGGAGAACGCCGCCCCGCACGCGTACATTGTTCAGGGGACGGCGAGCCGCGCAGGTGCCCGCTGCCCTGGGCCGCAGTCCCCACGCCCTCCGCACGAAGCCAGCAATGCACCTGCACTACCGCCTGCCCTTGCGGGGCTCCGGGCACAATTCCCGCAGCCTGCCTGGGGTCTTGGGGGTGCGCAATGCCGGAGACAAGGGACGAGCCGCCCCAGGGCCGTGTGTGGGGCTGAGAGCGAGCCCCTCTGCCTTGGAACGCGGGGGGCTCGGTTCGCGCGCTCCGGACCCCCCCCCCCGCGGTGACCACGGCCAACGACCCCCGGCGCCGCCCCGTGAACTTCTCAGCGGGGGCGGAGGGCAGGGAGCCCCGAGAGGGGCGGCTGTGCCAGCATTGGGGGCCCGCGGTCTCCGGCCGACTTGCACCCCGCCCTCCGCCCCAGGGCCGGCCGGGGACTGGGACCCCCCCCTCTCTGGACCAGGGATGGGCCCGCCGGGCAGGGGCTCCCCGGGCCGCGCGGGCGCCGGGCGGAGGAAAATGGCGTTGGCGCACGTACTTGGGTGAGTTCCGTGCCCATCAGGATGAGGAAGAGGAGGCCGAGGAGCTTCCGGGCGGGCGGCATGTCTCGCGGCCACTCCGACGTCCTGCCGGGGCCGGAGCTGGGGCTGGGGCTCGGCTCGCTGGGCTCGGCCGCGGCGCGGATCAGCACCCGGGGCGGGCGGCGAGCGGGCTGTGCTGCGCCGAGGCTCCGCGCCGCATATTTATGGTCCCGGTTCCGGCGCGGCTGCCCCCGGGCAGGGCTGGCGCGGGGCGGGGTTCGCCGTCCTCTCCCGCGCGCCGGGCTGGGGCTGGGGCTCGGGCTCGGGCTCGGAGGCGCGCGCTGCAGCGGTTGCCAAAAGTTTGCCGGGGAGGCGCGGGCGGGGGGGGGGGTGCAGGCCGGGACAGGATGTGACATCAAAAGGCGGGGGAAATTGAACTGGGGCGGCGAACTCCATCCTGGCCGCCGGCCGGGGCTGTGGGTCTCGGAACCGGGAGCCCAGGACGCAGCGAGTGGGGGTCGGACAGGATCGCCATCCCCAGAGGCGCAGAGACTAGAGGGAGGACCCCTGAAGGGGGTAAACCGAGGCTCAGACTCAGGAAGGCCGTTTCCAGGAGCCAGGGCTATACCCCAGGCCCTTCCCTGTCCCTGTGGGGTGTCCGCCGGGGCAGCTGCTGGCTCCTTCCGGCTGAAGGTCCACACCTGTGGTTGGTGTGCAGCACCTGGGGCGAGGTGCCTCATGCCTGCCAGGATCCCATCTTGTGCCTTGGGTGCTGACAGCTCTGCCTTCCCCCAGCCCGGGAGAGGAGCCCTCTCACCAGGCGGGGCTTCCAGACCCCTGGGCCCACCTGTCCTTGTACCCTGGGTCCTGATGGCCCCACGGGGGTGGACATGTGGCTCCCATCCCTGCCTTCTGCCCCACCCCCTTCCATGTATGCAGAGCTTTCCAGCAAGAGGAGTCTGCATGTTGCCATTCTGTCCCCGTGTCCCCATTCCCGTCCCCGTGTCCCTGGGAGGCGAGGCCGCAGCACACGTTAGAAGTGTCCCGCTGACTTTGGTGAGACCTGGCTACAGAAGCCTGGACAGTGAGAGGCCCGGACCTCCCGCCCTCCACAGAAGGCAGAGCCACAGGGCAACCGGGTCCAACCTTCTTATGTCAGAGGTAGGGACATGGGAGCCCCAGGAAGGATGGGGGGGTGAGGTCACACAAGGAGTTTGGAGCAAGGCCTAGGTCCCAGCTCCTGCTTGGGTGTCTGCAGAAGCGTCCTGGGGACCTGGGCGTGTCCACCTTGGGAAGTGGGGGCTGCCCTCTCAGAGGCAAACTGAGCCCGGGAAACAAGACAAGAGTGGGCTGGAGTTCCAGGGTGCCAGGCGCCCCGCCCTCTGGTTCTGAGAAGTGCAGCTTTTTTGTAACCCAAGTGTTCTCATTTTTGTCTCAATAAGGCAAGAGCTTTGTGAGGCTCTAGGCTTCCCATGGTCACTGGAGGGCTGATGAGAGGCTGACCCTTCCTGGGCCTCAGTTTCCCCACCTGTAGAATGGAATGACACCATGATGGGAAAACCTTTTAGGGCCTCGGAAGGAGTCAGGAGGCTCTGAGCATGCCGATGGTGTGCAGAGGAGGAGACAGCAGATCAGAGTCATGTGAGAATCAGGTCTCGGAGCTGGGGTGAGAACCCCGGCCTCTGGGGTTCTGTTTCTATGGGCTGGGGAAAGAGGGGAGCTATGCCAATCTCCTCCAATTTTAGCTAGAATTGTTTTCACTTTTAAAATTATATAACTCTATGACCCAGAAATTCTATTTTTGGGTATTTCCCATGGGAGTTGAAAGCAGGCACTAGACCACCTGTCTGCCCACTCATGTTCGGAGCAGTATTGTCTACAAAGGCCAGGAAGTAGAAGTGCCCACATGTCCCTGAACAGAGGAGTGGAAAAGGAAATGTGGTCTGTCTACCTGTTGTGCCTGGTGAAATATTATTCAGCACTGAAAAGGAAGGACATTTGACACCAGGCTAAAACCTTGAGGATGTTATGTTCAGTGAAATAACCTAGTCACAAGAGGGCAGATGTTGTGTCCACTCCTAGAAGGGGCCCAGAACAGTCACACCCCTAGAGACTGAAAGCAGATCACACAGCCTCCCAGGCCCAGGGGAAGGAGGACCCAGGATGATTGCTTCGTGGGTACAAGTTTAAAGTGATGAAAAGTTTGTAAATAGATGGTAGCAATGGTTGCCCAGTGGTGAATGTCCACAATGCCACTGAGTTGTACGCTGAGAAAAGTTATGCACTTAAAAATTTTACGCATTGTATATATTTTAACATAATTTTCAAAACATCATAACAATGAACCCCAAACCACTGCCTTGTGTACTTCAAGTGGGTGAATTGTATGGTATATAAACTACAGCTTAATAAGGCTATTTTTAAAAGTCACAGAGTTATCATTGTTTCTTCAGGGTTAGGCACAAAGAAGACCAGAAAACAAAAGCTACTGCCCCTTGGCACCTACAGCCCTGATGGAGTTGTCATGCTGTGCCAGGGTCAAAGGCGGGGCTAGTGAGAGCAGGACATTGGCTTCCTAAGTCACAGGCAGCCGGGGTTCGGGGCTGCTGTGACCCCGGCAGGTCATTAATTACCTCCCTGTGAGTGGGGCTGGTGAGAAGCCCCATCCAGAGCCCAGAACCGAGCCTGGCATACAGCAGTGGCCTGAAACTGACAGCAAGATGAGTGATCATTCACGGAGAGGGACAAGACCCTGCTTAGAAACTCGGTCCTCCCTCCCAGGGGCCCCCAGACACCCACACCCTGGGATGCTCCTGTCCCTGGTTCCCCGGTATAAAACAGCCTCTTGCTTACCTGTAACCTACCACACCCCCCGGGTACTTTATTTCTTTATTAACTTGCTTAGTTTTGGTCAATCTTTTTAGTTTTGATTTTGCATTTTTATTTTTTAATTGATGTATGGTATGGCGGTGCCTCAGTTCAAGAACATCATTTGTTTCATGATTCTGGGGAAGATGGCTCCAGTCTTGCTCATCCCCTGATGGGAAGTTGGAGAATGGAAGCCAAATTTTACCAAACGCTTCTATTCATGAACTGAGTTGTCCATGGATCAAGATATTACTGTCTTTCCTCCCTTGTACTTTAAATTGCATGTAGATTACTTGTAACATCTGATACAAAATAAATGCTACATAAATCCCTGTTACGGTGTGTCGTTTAGGAAAAACAAGAAGAAAGAAAGTTCCCGTTTCCATACAGACACAATTTCCCACCCAGCTCCTTTCCACCGGACAACGTGGAGCCTGCAGAAACACTTGAATTTAAAGAAGAAAGAGAAACCAAAGTAAAACAGACGAAGCTGCTGACTCCCACCCCTCTGTCTCTGCCGCACCAGGCGCTATTTCCTGGGGGAGCATCTCAGCTGGGCCAGGAACCTGGGCTGACCGGCAACTGTTTGGGGCGGGATGCGTTTCTGCTGCTTCCCCATTTGACCACCTGGGCCACCCCTGAGTTGAGAGCTGGGTGACACTCACACCACATCCTCCTCTGCCAGCCCTGTGCCTTCAGCTCCGGCTTTGTGTCAGCGTTTGTGGTCCTGGTACTCACTCCCAGCCCGCTGGCCCTGCTGAGGACTGAGTTCCTGCCCCACCAGCTGGCCTCCCGAGCCCCACACCACATCCTCGCTGGCCCCTGGCTTAGAGGCTTCTTCCTCCCATGCCCTGGCCTCCCATCTGGAGCATCACGAAGTCTCTCTGGCAGTGGCCCTGGTGAGGCCTGGGTTCCAGGGCTCCCACCCTAGGGATCAGCCTCACCTCTGCCCACCATTCGGAGGCCAGAACAGCCCAGTGGGTGTGGAGCCATCCGAGCTCCTGTGCTTCTGGCCTGGCACAGCGGGTACCCGCTCCCCCGCCGCGCCCTGTGCTGCCATCGCCCCGAGGCTGGGGCCAGCGACCACCAGGAAGCAGCCACTTTCCTGCTGAGACTCCTCGGGACACGGGAGGATCGATGTGCTTCGTGCTCCTTTAAGACAGGCCTCCTTCGACTGCTGAGCCTCATTACAATGTGACAGAGTGTTGCCAAGGCAACGGCACTAACTCTCCCCGTCCTCTCTGTGAATTTTCTAGCAAACAGGGCCTGAAACCTACGGAGTTGCAGGGATGCCTGTGCTGAGAGTCTTCAGGCACTCAGCTCGGCCCTCTCAGGACCTGTCGTGTCAGGAGACCTCTGCCTGGCTCCCCAGCCTCTGGGCCCTGGCTCCTTCTGGGGCTGAGGCTGGAGAACCAGAGATGTTTATCTAGTGCTTACTATTGACCAGCAGGATTCTCAGGCTGGGGCAGGGACAGGGCCTCCCTCGTGCTGGGGACACCAGCCATGGGGTCAGCAGGGCTGCATGCCCTTGGGGGCTCCAAGAGGGACCCGCCCCGCCTGCTCCAGCTGCAGTGTCTCCGCTCAGGGCTTCTTCCCTCAGGTCTCGAGGCTGGACTGTCCCTTCTCTCTGCTCCTGCATCACATGTGCTCCTCTGTGTCCAGTCTCCCTGGGCCCCTTTCACTTGTGGTTGCACTCAGGGCCGCTGGGAGGAGAGGCTGGGAGGATCGTGAGGTCCTTAACCTGGTCACTGCTGCTTGGCCACATCCACGCGTTTTCCCTAAGGTCCAGTGCAAGGGCTGAGCAGGGATCTCTATTGGACGCTGCTTTTCAGCTGGCTGCGGGGACAGACACAAACACACAACAAGCAAATCAAAGAACCAGGCGGATATTGACAGGTGCAGCGCTGTGAAGCTGATGAGTAGGACGCTGGGGCTGAGACCCATGGAGGGCGTTTAGGGGAGGCAGGAGGAGGCCTGGAGTGGGGCTGGGACATTTGCGGGGAAGGGCAAGACAGGCAGAGAGGGAGGGAGAGATGCCAGTGTGGAGGTACAGGCGAGGGACCGGCAGTGTGCAGTTCGGGGCAGGGAAGGCCTGGAGACTGTGGGCTCCCAGAGGTGTGGGCTTTGGGTGTGAGTGGGGAAGGACCAGGCAGCATGGGATCCCGAGGGAGGAGGCTCGGTCCCGGGGCTGCTGGAAGGGGTCACACAAGGGCCTCGAGGCTTGGCCGGGAGCAGCAGAGCCAGTGAGACAGGGAGGTAACAAGGAGGCTTCCAGGACAGGCAGGCCCCAGGCTGAGTGTTCACCGCTCCCTGCGAGAGGCAGGATGTGAAGCTGAGGCAGCAGGGACCTCCGGGAGCCCAGCCCCAAGCCCAGGGCAGGGTGGCGGAGGCGCCTGGGAACAATGGACTCCAAGGTGCGCGCAGGCTGAGCGGAGAACATGGGGTCCCAGCAATGGCTCAGCCCCCAACATTCAGAGCCCTGTGAACTCCGTGAGAGGCTGCAGGCAGAGCCACCTCGGGGTTGGTCCCACTCCACGGCCCTGATTTCTGATCAGGAGCCCAGATCCCCGGTCTGCAGGCACGGTGGGCTCCGGAGGTGGGCTCCCGGTTCTGTCCCCTCCTAGTGCAAGAGGGTGGGGGACTTGCCTCGGAGGTCCTGGTACGGATCGTGGTGCCCAGGACTCTGAGTGCACGACCTTCATCCTCACTTCCTATCCCTTGAAGCCACTTTGCCTCCCCCTCCTAAAGTGGGGAAACTGAGTCTCAGAGGCCAGAGTCCCCACCCCAGCAGTGCCTAAGCCTCAGCTCTTCTATGTCTTCTGAGCTACAGCCCCTCTGCAGGGCCAGGCCCAGCTTTGATTTTGCCGTTTCCTCTCCCGGGATGGTGCCCACCTCTGGATTCCACCCTGGCAGCCTCATGCTCCCGAGATGGCTGCCCCTCCCTGCGCACTTGCCTGGTCTGGCCCTGAGCTGAGGTCTCCACAGCCGTATTTTTCTCCATTCGAGGTGGGCACTGTAGTGGGCTCATTTTGAAAAAGTGGAAACTGAGGCAGAGGTTGTGCACCCTGACTCCCTGCAGGCTCCCTTGGACAGCTGCCTTCTGCTCCCTGAGCCCCATCTGTAGAGACAGCACTGGGTCTGATGTGGAGCTTAGCGGTCTTGCTTCCTCAGGGTGCAGTTTGAGAATAAAACCCAAAGAAAACCAGCAGCTCTGAAACACACGAGTGCAGGTGAGGTCATTGGTTCAGAACAAAAGGCAAAATGAGATAAGATGTATCAGTTTCCTGTCTTTGGGCTAGCAGTTCTGTTAGCATCAACCCAGAGTCAGGAGAGAGAGACAGAGAGTGTCTGATCATTCTGGACCAAGCCTGCTAGTTAGGAAAAATCGCCGCAGGCCTTCCTGGCGATGCCAGGGCCTCTGCATGAAGCAGGTAATTGCTTGGCCTCTGCATCCTTCCCTAGGACATCGGTGGCCCCTGAGCAATGGTGAGAACACAGAGAACAAAGTCTTCTGGAGCTGGAAAAACAGTGACCGCCCCTGGAAGGGCCAGGCAGAGACCCCCACGAGGCTTCGGTTTCCCAAACAAAGGTTCAGACGTTGCTGGCATCAGCCTCACATCTCCTTCCAGCATCAGCTCGAGGGCCTGGATCTGTGAGCAGCCAGGAGACACCGGTCTCTGGTCCCTTGTCCCTGTGGCTGCAGCAGCGCTGCCCCCAGGCGATCGAGGAAGGGCTGCTGGGCTGCATGCTGGGACCTCAGGAGCTTGGCGAGACCCCAGTAGTCACACACAAGTCAGACTCCTCGACCTCCTCAAGGGGAAGGACGGAGCAGCTCTGCCAGGACCTGGGAATGCTTATCTGGCAAGTGTGCCCTGTCCGCGAAGTGTTCTGGGGGCACAGCTCATGCGGGGCACTGGAGCAGGAGCCAGGAGCCCGGACTGCTGTGGCCCTATGGGGCTGTCACCTCGCTGGGCCCAGGGCAATCAGCTCCGGCTTCTGGTGGCTCAGCTGCCCTGGCTCGACAGCCTTTTTGCCCATTTTCCACTGGAGGCTTTTGTTTGTTTCTGTCTTTCTGCTGAGCTGTGAGACTTCTCATCTATATAGATACAAATCTTCTGGCACATATGTATTTTAATATCTTCTTTCATTTTGGACCTTGACCTTTGTTTGTTAAATGGTGCCTTCCAAAAAGGAAAAGGTTTCAACTTTGATAAAATCCGGTTTGTCAGTTTTCATTCTGTGATTTGTGCTTTTTGCATCCAGTCTAAGAAATCTTTCCCCCAAAGATGGCAAGATTTTCTCCTATCTTTCCTTCTTCTATTATTTATTATTCTTTAGCTTTTGCATTTTGGCTGTGACCCCCTTTGAGTTCACTTTTGTCTACACTGTAAGGTAGAGGTGTGGATTTTTCTCTCCTAGACACATTCTGTCCTTCAGCAAATTCCTTTCCCCTTGAATGGCCGCTGCACCTTTGTTGAACATCAGTTTAACAAATACGTGTGGGAATATTTCTGGACTCTATTAGGTACCACTGATCTATAAGTCTAAACTTTTGCAAATGCTTGTCTTGATTACTACCTGTTCTTAGTGAGTCTTGAAATCGGGTACTGTAAGTGCTTCACCTTTGTTTGTTTCTTCTTCTTTTTAATTTAATTGTTTTGGCCGTTGTGTCATTTGCATTTCCCTCTCATAATACTGGAGTCTGATGCAAAAAGGAGGCCTATTTTCCATTTACCTGGATTATCTTTTGTTTCTCTCAACAGTGTTCTATGGTTTCCAGGGAAGAGAAATCATACCTTCAGTAGGTTTTCATGTTATTATGAGTCTTTAAATTTTCATTTTCTAGCCTGGTGTGGTACACACCTGTATTCCCAGCACTCAGGAGGCGGAGACAGAAGAATCAAGAGTTTGATGGCAGGCTGAGATACCTTGTAAGTTCAAGGCTAGGCTCAACCACATAGAAAGATCCTGTCTCAAAACACCAAAAAAAAAAAAGTCTAATCATTTGCTAACACATAAAACTGTGATTGATTTCTGGATCCTCAAATTTTGCACCTCGCTAAATTCACTTATTAGTTCCAATCCTTGTTTAATGGACTTCTTAGCAATTTTACACAGGCAGTTATTTCACCTAAGCATAGAGACTAGTTTACTTCTTTTCAGGTCTGTGTGATGTCACTTACTTGTTTTCTCTTTGCAATAACCAGCCCCGCCCCAATAAGCACTGAATAAACATGGTGGGAGCTGGGCCTGTGCTGCTCCCGGCCCTGCAAGGACAGCCGAAGATGCTGCCACGTGTGATGGTGGCTGTAGATTTCACACAGCTGCTCTTCGTAGGCCCCTCCTATCCTTGGTTGCGAGTTTCGTTAGGATTGGTTGCATTGTATTTAATCCTGTCAAATGCTTTTTCTATGCCTATTGAAACGATAGTATGGTTTACCTCCTTTTTTTCCAACTCATATGGTGAATTAATTGATTGATCTTCAAATGTTCAGCCCTGCATTCTGAGACAAACCCCAGTCAGTCACAACGTATTATCTGTATTATCCATTTTATACGCTGCCAGACTTGCTGGCTGGCTAATATTTTATTTTATTCTGATGCTCCTGAGAGCCATTGGTTTCCAAGTTTTTCATTCCTGGGATGGCTGTGTCTGTCTTGGGGTTGGAGTTATGTTGACTTCTTTTTTAAAAACAGGAAGTTTCCCCTTCTCTTCTGCCTTCTGACAGTTTGTGTAAGCTTGGTGTTAATTTTTCCAGGGATCTCTGATTGAATTCACCAGAGAAACCATCTGGGTCTGGAATTTTCTGGAAGGGAAGGTTTGTTTTTATGAAAAATTCATTTTAAAAACTAGCTATAGAGGTATTCAGATTTTATCTTCAGATAGCGTAATTTTTGGTAGGTTGTATTTTCAGAGAATCTGCCTTTTATCAGCGTTGTCATATTTGAAGTTGTTCATCATATTCTCTTTTTAAACTTGAATTTGCTGGATAGCGTTATCTTTTTGAAGCTCTTAAGCAACCATTCTCTGGTTTCTAGTACTGATGGTGTATGTCCCTCTCTCTTTGTTCCCTTAGTTCAGCTGGAGTTCTGCTGATTGTTTAACCTTTTCAAAGACTCAAATTTCAAATTTTGGCTTTGTTAACTTTCCCTATCTTTTGTTGCTTTCCTATTTCTGTAGTTTCTTATTTTCATTTTGTCCGTTCTTACTCCAGGTTCATTTTGCTTTCCTTTTATTTCTGGAGGTGGAACTTGGAGGTGCAGACTTCAGAGCTTTATTCATTTTCAAGCATTTTAAATTACAGATTTGCCTCTGAGCACGGCTTTAACTGCATCCCACAGATTCTCCTATGTTGTGTTTTCATTATTGTCTGGTTAAGTGTTTTCCGATTTCCATTCTGATTTTTCCCTCGTCACAAGTTACATAGAAGTAGATTGTGGACGCCCATATGTTGAGGGCTTTCTAAACATGCCACTGTCATTTGATTTCTAATTTAATTCCATTCTGGCCTGAGCACCTACTGTGTAACTTTAATTGTTTTTCTTTTTTCCTGTTCTTGGGGTAGAACCCAGGAACGCTCTACCACTGAGCTACATCCTCAGCCTTTTTACTATTTTCTTTTGAGTCAGGGTCTTGCTAAGTTGTCCAGGCTGGTCTCCAACTTATGGGCCTCCTTCATCAGGCTCCCGAAGGCTGGGATTACAGGTGTACCCGTCTGCTATTGATGCTACGGGTTTTGTGGCTCAGAATATGGACTGTCTTGGTGAACAGACCGCGGATACCTATAGACAATACCTAGTTTTCCGTTGTTGGATGCAATGGTCACCACCTATCAATGCTGTCGATGTAATTGGTAGTGTCGGATCCTTGGGGTTTTATCGACTCTCCCCTCCAGCTCTTCCAGCAAATGCCAGGAGAGTTATTAAAATCTTTTATTACAATTGTGGAATTACCCATCTCTTCCCGCACTTCTGTTAGTGGTGCACACACTTAGATGACTGCTTCGTCTTCCTGATGAATTGACCCTTTTATCTGTGGCAAAAGTCTGACCTTCTCTTTGGAACATTCTCTGTCTCAAAGCCCCGTTCTCCAATGTGAATAAAGCTGCTCTGACTCTGGCTATCACCACTGCCTGTCATTATATTCAAAATGCTTCCTCTGTAATCAGTATATGATTGAGTCTTGCTCTTTTAAAACTCCATTTTGATAACCTCTGGCTCTTCTCTAGAGAATTTGCTCTATTCTCTGTTGATATTTAGGACTATTGTGTTTTTTGTTTTGTTTTGTTTTGTTTGAGACAGCCTCTATATAGTTCAGGCTGGCATTGAGCTCACTATGTAGCCCAGGCTGGCCCTGAACTCATGATGATCCTCCTGCCTCAGCCTCCCTAGTGCTGGCATTACAGGCCTGTGCCACTCTGTCCTACCCATATTTAGGACTATTAGGATATTTTGTTTGTTTATACTCCTTCTCATCCTCCTCCTCCATTTCTTTCCCTACCTTCTTTTGGACCGGTTTTTAGAATTCTTTTATAATCTCCCTTTGGGCTTTCAGTTCTACATCTTCACATTATTATTTTAGTAATAAATAAATAGGGAGAGTGGTGCACATTCCTTCATTGTTCCATCTGCTGAGGTTTGGTCTCACACCTCCTGCAGTCCTGTAGGTCTGTGATGGTCGCTTCATAGACATCACCAAGCCCACAGCCAGTGTCCATGTCCTGCTTTAACCAGCCACAGTGCTCCGGAGACACGGAGGGAAAACAGGCTTTTCCTGTTTCCCTCTATGTCACTCATTTCTGATGCTCTTCATTCATCCCCAAAACCTAGATTTCTACCTGTGTGGTAATTGTCCTTGTTGGAGGTGCATAAGTGTAAGATTCTGCATAGAGTATCAATCACTGGAACGCCCGAACATGAACCTGTGATTAAGTATCAAGCACGGTTGGATTTCCAATGCCAGGGATACAATAGATGCCAATTGGAAGTTTATGGAAGCAATGAACTAATGTGTTGCGATATCTGTGCCTTTTCCAGTCTTTAATTGGCTGTAGGGGTGGATCTCTCTCTCTCTCTCTCCCCGCCCTCCTTCCCCTGGTCCTCTCTTCATTCTTGCTCCTCTTCCTGTCCACCATGCCCCTCTGCCGTGCTGTTCTGCCTTGGAGCTCCTGATGGTGAGTCAAAATAAACCCCTCCAACTTTAAGTAGTGGGTGCCAGGTATTGCTTCTCAGTGGTGAAGAAAGCAACTAAGGCATCAGTCTCCTGCAAGCTTCTCCAGCCTCCTCGAGCTCCTGGTGTCAGAGCTGGCACAGATGCTGTAGGTTCTGGTCACAGCAGTCCCTTCTGAAAGCCACATTCTGCTCAAATGCAGCATGCCGAGTCACTCCACCTTCGTGCTTGAACAACGGGCTTTGTTCTGCTCACAGATCCATCATTGTGGTTTAGCTCAGAGGGACAGTTTGACTCTGCTCCTACAGTGTCAGCTTCGGTGGCTCAAGGATGGGAGAAAATCCAGGGGTGGCGGCACTGTTCTGCAGCCGTGTCCCTCACATAGCTGGCTGCTGGGGCCGTTCCGTGAGGCTGCCTCCCAGCCCAGCCTCTGGACACTGGGGAGGTCAGCATATTAGATAGGGTTCTCTAGAGGAAGAGAATCCTTGAAGAGTGCATGCTCACTTCTGACGGGGGCTAGGGGTTTATCAGGTAGCTTACAGCATCAGAGGTGGGAGAGTGTGGGGTCCAGTAGCTGCTCAGCCCAGGAAGATGGAAGCCACAGAAGAGGAAACGAGGACACTGCCCGGCCCAGAGTCAGAGGCCTGGAAGCTCGCAGCATTGCTGGAGCAAGGCTACGCTGAAAGATGAAGAAATTGGGGATTGGTGTGCAGAGGCAATGGCAAAGACTGGGGCTCTTCCAAACTGGGGGAACTTCTTCCTTCTTCCCCTTTTTATTCCATCCAGACTATGAGCCCAATGGTAGTGCCCCCCGCATCTGGGTGGACCTTCATCCCTCAGCTTGCCGGCCTCCGGGTCAGCCAGCCACACGCACACCCACAGCTGTGCCGCAGTAGTCTCCTGGCGTTTCATACTCCATTCAAGTTCACAGATCACCATTAGCGGTCACGTCATCCAGGAGAACAAGGCAGAGGAAGTGCACGGCCCTCGTGTGACCTGTCTTGGGAGCCACATCATGTTGCCTCCTCTGGGCTCTCTTAGCTGAGGTGGCACAGTCTGCCCAGAATCAAGCAGAGGGAACACGGCCTGCCCCAAGGTAGGAAGAGGGCCAGCGTCACAGGACAGGACGTCTGAGGGACGGGACACCTCCTGGTGGCCCTGTTTGGTAAAAAATCATTTGCCACAGAACGTGGTGAATGAGTGAATTTGGTATCACTAAAGGACAAGCCACGCTTCCGCCTTCCACCTTTGGCAGCCCCGGGGGAGTACCCAGAAGACTCATTTTAAGAACCCTTGTTTCCAGCATGGTGCTAGGTCCTGCTCAAGACCCCCACTCATAATACAAAATGACCCTTAGATGGTGGCCCCGCTGTGCCAGGGCCTCTTCCAAGGGCTCTGTGCTGTGAACTCACCTGGCCTTGCGCCCACCTGTCATTGCTGAGAGAAAAGCAGCTGCGCCTAGGATCTGCATCTGATCATCACGATACAGCTGGGAGCTACCCCCGCTCAACATTCCTTTCCTCCACGTCCTGAGCATCCGCTCCTGAAGGAGGCCCAGCAACCTCCAGCACTCAGGACTCAGTGGGACAGGGCAGATTTACAGCCAGGAGAGTGCTGGGAGTCCTGGCCTGGCTCCCCTTTCCACTGAGGTGAAGGACCTGCAGGGCCCGGGTCTGCTCAGAGGCAGGGCAGAGGCACAGGCAGGGCCATCCAGCTGAAGACATCCACGTGATCCTCTGCAGCTTGGAGACACTGCTTTGAATCAGAGTGAGGGCGGAGGGGTGGAGCCAGCAGCCCACTGTACACTGGGGTGCCCGCCAGCTGTGGGGTGCAGGCCACTTCCGACTTGCCAAAGCCTCAGATCTGGAGCAGGTGCTGGCAGATGCCTGTGGAATAAACAAATGCAAATCAGTCGACAAGAGCCCTAACAATGAGGCCTGAGCTTCCTCCAGCACTGCAGGTGGCGGCTTTCCAAGGACCTGGGACTCAAGCATATTGTCCTTCTCATCCCACGTGGTCCTGTCAGTGATGGAGACCTGAGTGAAGGTCTCTGTCACTATCTCCTGTGTCACTAAAGCCGCTCTGTCCTT